AATGCCATCACCTCCACTGGCCTTGTTGTTAGCCAGGCTTTCTAAGGCCCACTTGACTTCACTCTCCAGGATGTCTGGCTCAAGGTCAACAGCCACACTAACTGGGTTGTCCGGGACATCCAGATCTTTCTGGTATAATTCCTCTATGTATTCTTACCACCTCTTCTTGATGTCTTCTGCTTCTGTGAGGTCCCTCCCATTTTTGTCCTTTATCATGTCCATCCTTGCACAAAATGTTCCTTTAATATCTCCTATTTTCTTAAACAGATCTCTGGTTTTTCCCTTTCTATTATTTTCCTCTATTTCTTTGCATTGTTAATTTAAGAAGGCCCTCTTATCCCTCCTTGCTATTCTTTGGAAGTCTGTATTCAGTTTTTTGAAACTTTCCTTATTTCCCTTGTATTTTGTTTCCCTTCACTTCTCCACTATTTGTAAGGCCTCAGTGGACACACACTTTGCTTTCTTGCACTTCCTTTTCTTTGGGATGGTTTTTGTTGCTGCCTCCTGTACAGTGTTATTAGCCTCTATCCAAAGTTCTTCAGGCACTGTCCACCAAATCTAGTTCCTTAAATCTGTTCTTCATTTCCACTCTGTATTCATAAGGGATTTGGTTTAGATTATACCTGAGTAGCCCAGTGGTTTTTCCTACTCTCTTCAGTTTAAGCTTGAATTTTGCTATAAGAAGCTGATGATCAGAGCCACCATCAGCTCCAGGTCTTGTTTTTGCTGACTGTCTAGAGCTTCTCCATCTTTGGTTGCAGAGAACATAATCAATCTGATTTCGGTATTGCCGGTCTGGTGATGTCCATGTGTAGAGTCACCTCTTGCGTTGTTGGAAAAGAGTGTTTCTGATGACCAGCTTGTTCTCTTGGCAAAACTCTATTAGCCTTTGCCCTGCTTCATTTTGAACTCTAAGGCCAAACTTCCCTGTTGTTCCTTTTATCTTTTGACTCCCTACTTTAGCATTCCAGTCCCCTAGAATGAGAAGAACATCTTTCTTTGGTGTCAGTTCTAGAAGGTGTTATAAGTCTTCATAGAATTGTTCAATTTCAGCCTCTTCAGCATTGGTGGTTGGTGCATAAACCTGGATTACTGTGATGTCACAGTACAACTCAATGTCATTTAGCTCCCTTAACAACAGTGGTGGTTTTCATGGTAAACTTCAGATGGCAATATGGGCAGTCCTGTCAAAATGGTCTCTTTTCCTCTCCAGAATGCCATTTGCAGGTGGTGGTGAACATGGGTGTCAAAGCTTTCAAGAAGATATCCATACTGGTGTGCGCCCAAGTATGTACTCAGAAGCCTATGGCTCAGTTGGCAGAGCTAAAAGTCCCTCTTCTTGAATCTCACCATCCAATACTGAGACCAAGGAAGACCTTGTGAGAGAGATCTCAAAGATGACCTGAGGAGGTAATGTTGCTCCATCAAAATTTCCTTTGGTGGTATGGAGGGAGTTTTTACACCTAGTCTGATCAAATTGCTCTGGCAGTTATCTTTAAATGCCTCTCTTTCATTTAATTTCAATTTATTTTTTATACCCTATATTTCTCCTGAAGAGGACCTGAGGTAGCTTACAATATTAAAACAAACAATATTAAAAGCTAAAAATACTAAATAGTAAATAAAAATATGACAAATAAACTCGGGGCTGGGGATTTCCCTCCTATACTCAACACACATCTTAAAGAAAATAGCCAGAGCCAAGTGGCCTGAGTGAGAAACAAATTCTACTGTGTGTTTTTAAAAAACGGAATAACAACAATAACAATTATATGAATAAACTATCACAAAAAAATTAAAACAGTCTCTATTGATTTGAAGCAGTTGCTCTCAAGAAGGATAACTAAGGGCGTCGTTGTTGTGGCAGACAAAACGAAACTGAAGGAAGAGGCGCTGGAGCATGCGTTGTAAAGTGTGGAGCAGGAGCAACGTTCAAAAACACTCCGTCTCAAGGATCCAAAAGGGACATTCTGTGCAGGCACAGACCCATCAATGTGGGATGCACAGAGACCATGATAAAGAATCTATCTTTCTGTTTACCCATCTGTCTGAATATTTGCTTCAGTACATTACGTGAACATGCATGTGTGCGTGCATGCATGCATCCATGTGTATGACACAGGATGTGCAACTCTTCCCTGCACCTTCACTACCAATGGAAACTGCCAAGACTACCTTAATCTGAAGGAAGTCATCTTAAACAGAGATTTTCCAGCATAAATAAATGTACGTAGAATTTGTGCATGTAAAAAAAGTACCTTGCATGCAGGACAATATTTGGGTGAGTCAACTTTTAAAGGTAGAGCCATGAAAAGCTGATATAAGGCAGGGTTTAGACAGGTGTTTTACTCTCCAGGCCCAGCTTGGCAAAACACTCTGCTGAAAGTTCTGATAATCATATGGTTAATGATAGGCATGCAATTAACAGCTGTCAGGAATCAGACAAACAGCATCAAGCACTTGGCAAAATGGAGCCACTGAAAGCATTCTTGTTTCATGGTAACATTTTAAGTTAGTAACTCCAGTTCAGAAAGCAGAGAAACACATCTTTCGAAAATTGAAAACTGTGATTCTTTGTGTTCTTGAGGACCACCCAAACTGATACATTGTGTCTATCTCACATTCCCTACCCTTACCTTTTCTCCATCATGTCCGGGAGGACCAGGCAGGCCAATTTCACCCTAGAATTCAAAACCCAAAAAAGAAGGTGGGAAAATATGAAGAGCTGTTTCACCTGTTTGTCTATATATCAAGCTTTGGAGTTGGCATATACTCTAGAAACAGAAGGAATGTTCCGTTGATAGTGGTTTGATTGGCCAGGGATGACACTTGAAGCTCAGTGGGATCAATGAGGGAACAGAAATGCTTAAGAGATTGGGGTTCTATAGCAAGCAAGCATTTGAATGGTTGCTGATAACTGCAACCAACTCCAGTGCTAAGGTATGGGGACAACTGAATTGCACTCCTCTCCTTGGAGTGTGCCACACAGTACTTTTAATGATTACAACTGTAACAGCATAATGTTTCTGTTAAATAATTTCTATGTAGCTCATAGGTTGCAACATGGAAATATAGTACGACTGAGATATCCATGGGGATCAGTTCCAAGCCCTGCCCCTGTGGATGTTGGAAACAGTGGATAAACAAACTGCATACTTCTAGTTTCTTTGGTGTCCCTGCATGGTTGAGAGGGGGTGCCTTTGTCCAGTCTTGGCAAAGGACTGAGTTTCCTAACCTCCTGTTCGCAAGGGAGGCTTCTCTGAAACCGGCAACAGTCCCCCTTTCCTGCAAATATGGCTTCTCCATTTCACCAGAAGCTGCTTCCCTACAAGACATCAGGCCATGAGTGCATTTCCAGTAAGCCACTGGTATAAAGCATAGTCTCTGGTTCAATCTAATGGCAAGTCCTGGTAATACACTGTACCTTGGGCATGTATATTTCTAGGTTTTAATTATTTTACATTTTTTCAGGCAGTGGATAAGTGAAACTATGGGTACTGATCCAGTGGAAACAGTAGTTCTATTGGACATGATGTTTACATTCCTAAATGCAGCAAGAGAGAATGCCTGTTCCTGCTCATTTTGCCCTCTTCCTCCACCTGTTTTGTGGTATACCTGGAGTCTGCTTGTTACAGCAAGTAGAAGAGAGCATGGGTGACAGAATCAGGTAGGATCATGGGACTAAAATGTCTCTTGCTGCTTGGGGAAATCACAAAATAAAAACCTGGAAAACATATTTGCATCACAATGGTGATGTTGTAAAGCTACCATTTCATGGTACATTTGAAAAAGGAAATTCAAAACCTTTCCCAGGATAAGAATAAGAGTGAGCAAAAGCTTCCTCTTTCCTCCAGCTGAGTTTTAGTGTCTACCACATCCATCCAAATGTGAATGGGATGTAACTAAAAGAGTTAATTAAACACATCCTTTAGTGTTGTGTTTCCTTCATGACCCCTGGGGATGAAGTAAATGCTTATCTCTGTTGGCTATAGTATAGACCATGAATTTAAAAAACATCATTTAAAAGGAATGTTAGAGATGGGTTCATGCAAATATTATGGGGTTCTTTTGGTTATTTTCCTGAGCTGAATTAATTTGATAACCAAGTGGTGCTGTGTACCCACTGAGCATTGGGGATAAAAAAACTGTAATTTTCACAAAAGCCTTTAGAATGCAGCGAATTGAAAAAGTCACTTACAGTGGGGTCTTGACTTGAGAACTTAATCCGTATTGGAAGGCGGTTCTCAAGTCAAAAAGTTCTCAGGTCAAATCTGCATTTCCCATAGGAATGCATTGAAAACCATTTGATCCGTATCTGCTCTTTTCCGTCCATAGAAACTAATGGGAAGCTGCTATTCCGCCTTCGACCACTAGAGGGGGATATTTTGTTTCTTTTTTTCTTAGGTCAAGAAAGGTGCAGGGAAGGCAGGGAAAATACAGTCCAGGCAGTACAGTACCAGGCAGTCTGAAGACTGTCTCCCAATCCACTCTCTAAACGCTGGGAGGAGTGAGGAAGCAGACAGGCACCCTTTTCACTGGCCAACAGTTAACTGAAAGTTCACATTTTGCACTTTCCCTGCCTCCCACGTGGTTTTTTTTTCAGTTCTTAACTCAAATCTAAGTATGTAAGTCAAGTCAATATTTTCCTATGAGAGTGGTTCTTAAGTCAAAATGTTCTTAACTCAAGCCGTTCTTAAGTCAAGACCCCACTGTATTTTAGCTACAACTTAAGGACATTTTTCAGTCTGTTGTTCATGGATCAGTTTCACCACTGATAGATTGGCAAAGGAAGCTTGAAGCTTGGCGGAATAAATGAGAGAAATGTCTAATCTAGGAAAGGGCTAGAAACGGAAAAATGGTATTCCCTCCCAGACAAACAGGGCTGGGAGGGAGCAGATGGGAAGCTAATATATTTCCAAAACATTGGCCTCTGGGGCTGAGAAAAAGCATTTCTGGAAAGACAGTGGAATAGAAATGCAGGAATGAAGGGAAGGAAGGAAGAGATAATCATTTAAGACAACCAGAGATTTTTTTTAAAGTCTGAAATAATACAATGTGAGCCATAAGAAGTAGGAAGAACAACTTACAGCATTATATTATCTGGAATATGTATAGTGTACTAGGAGTAGTGGAGTGAGTACTAGTAGTGGAGTGAGGAAACAACAATATACAGAACACCAAAGGTTCACACTACTCTCAGGTCCTAACTATTAGTAAGCCTGTACACAAATCATTATTAACATGTTTTTGCATTTTATTTATCTGAGTAGAAAAGAAGTGCATGCCTAGAAACTGGAAGTGCTTTATTCTTCCTTGACAATGCCCGATTTTTATGACTCATGATGGCTGATAGTTACCTTTTGTCCTGGTGGTCCTGGAACTCCAGGTCGTCCGGGAGGTCCCTCATGAAAGAAAAAAATAAAAATATGAATGTAAAGTAACCCGCTTTCCTTTCAAAAGCAGTTACCTTTGTTTTGAATAGCTAATAAATATTTCCAGTTATCAGCTACTTTGAAGTTTCTTTAAAACCTGAAAAGATGTGGGGGAAAAATAGCAGCCAATATCCTGCTCAATATCTATGTGTGTGGAACTCCAAGGGAAGCTGCCCAGATGACTGACTGGAGATATCAGGAGTGTGCTGGGTTGTGCACAACTGGAGTCTTGTCAGATTGCCACGACAGTCTCTGCCACTGGTCCTCTTCACACATAAGTATTGAGCAGGATATTGGTCAATGTTTATGCAGGAGAAGAAAAGTGTCATATAACAAGAGGTTGACATGTAATGATGTGGCTGTCTTTTGAAATCTTTCTAGCATTTTTCAGATTGAATGCACATCGCTTCTCCCGTCGCTTCTCCCAGCTCCTGCCTACCTAGCATTTCTAAAGCATATAAAAATGCAAGCAGATAAATAGGTACCACCTCGGTGAGAAGGTAACGGTGTTCCGTGTCTAGTCGTACTGCCAACATGACCACGGAAACTGTCTATGGACAAATGCTGGCTCCAGAGCTTGGAAACGTGGATGAGCATCCCCCCTTAGAGTCGGACACGACTGGACTAAATGTCAAGGGGAACCTTTACCAAAATCTTTCACACAGCTTGACCAACTGCACTTATTTTTTTTAAAAAACTTCGGTTGACATTTATTTACAATGCAAGAACATGGATCCAGCAAGGATTTCTCCATGTTGTTTTGTTTTGTTTTGTAAAGGAGACCCATAACATGTGTAGGCATGGTCTTTCTCTTCCCAGGTTGTTCCGGGATTTGCCAAAACGAGTGATTAGTCTAAAACTGAATTATATTTCACACTTCTGTGTCTAGCCAACCATAATGCAAAAAGGCAACTTTTTCTATGGATGTTTTTCATCTTTTTTAGCTCATTGTGACATGCCATCTATAGTACTTTTGTCAGCCTTGCTGTTTCTGCTCCCTTTTTATAACTAATATTTGATTATAAGTCACAATGCACAGAGGAGGAAAAGTGACTCACCATAAGGGCCAAGGTTCGTATTTCCTGAAAAAGATGTCCATGTTTAGGTACATGAATGTATATACATATATTAATAAGCACCTATTGAAGATATATATCTCTTTTCCTTTCAAAATAAACTAAAGGTCATGAACTTAATCAAAATCAGCATGAAATATTTGGTTTGACTTCCCTGACAGAGCATTAAAAGAGCCTTTACAACATACATTTTCCTTGGAGAGGACAGCCTTGGAGTCTTGCAATGTCTTCATAATAATTGATGCATTTGCAAACGTATAAGCTGAACAGTTGTTACAAGTTCACAAAGTAAGTTTTCAGGCAGGCAGCGCTAACCTGAAAGCAGCATCACTTCATCATTTTGAAATCTGGATCTTTCTTCCTAGCTAAATGAAGAAGCCACTTCCATATAACTTTTCTTACAGGTCATAGACTCACATTATATGAGATGTGAGTCAGTGAAGGATTCTTCTGCCTAGTTATGACTAAAGACAGCCAAACTGCAATGAATGTGTCTATGTCCCAATCAATCATTAATCATCAGTTTACACCAGACTCATCTGCTTATTTCCACAACAAGACAGGTGGCTCACAGAAATAGCTTGCTTAAAAAGTAATGGTCAGAAAAAAAATCAATGTTAGGTACAAAATTGAATTTATTAAGCAGACAGGAAAACCACTGAGATTGGTCTCTTTTGAGGTAAGGTAGCGTTTTTATGAGGGAGGAGAAAATTAATTAAAAGAGTGAAGTTCTGCATTTCAGTGATGGAAACTTCCTCTAAATCACAGAGCATTCTGTCAGTAGAGATTTGATTATAAGTCACAATTCACGATACACTGTCTTTGTTCTCATCTACAACCTTTTAGTACAGGCCATAAATGTGAACATGTGATAAAAACATTATTACATTGAGAGACATTTTGGAAGCAGAGAGAATTCAGTTTTTTCTCTTAGTTACTGCTGAGCAATGTTCACATGGCCTAAGATATCTTTTGCATAGCTGGAACTGGTAAAGCCAGTGTGATGAACTGGACAGAGTGATGGACTAGGATGCTGGGTTCACCTCCTTGCTCAGCCATGGAAACTCATTGAGGGAGGGTGGCGCTTTAAAATCACTCATTGGGAACAGGGACAACTCCTTAAATATCTCACTCGTAATGTTGAAAATCCTATTACGGTCACTATAAATATATGAATATATCTATGGATGTATGAATGTGTTTTTGGAGTTGTTTTTGTTTACGATGCTGTAGGGTGGCATTTGACCCGTCTAGTATTTGTATATTTACTACTTTTAGCTTTAGATATAATCTTTTAATGATGCAGGCTACCTCGGGTCTCTTTCAAGGAGAGAGGCAGGGTAAAAATATTTTAAATTAATAAATAATAAATAAATAAATTGGCTGCAACTTAATAGCACAACTGATTTTCATCAGGAATATGGCAGAGGAAGAAAGCATTTTTAAAAAACAAACAAACAAACAAACAAACTCTTCACACGTGCCATGGCACTGACCTTGACCAGGTCTCCCAAAGCCTCCTATTTAGATTTTTTAAATGATGTCACAATCTAGCATCATCTGGAGTTTGATCTTAAGGCTGCTATTAGAGATGGGAGCTTTGTATTCATCTCCCAAATACAAACCTCGTCAGCACAGTTGGCCAGTCTGATGGGACCTTCTCCCTCCCACGTGGACGTCCACTTACTGCTTGCAGCCCCACATGTGGCAGTCGTCCATCACACCAC